TCAATCGATCTATCTATCTATCCATCTATCTAGTAGATGTAAGGTAATATCAGAGAGAAGATAGGAGAGAAGATGGACTGGGAAAGGCCTGCTGCTGAGAGTGGGATTTGAGCTAAGGAAGTCCCATTGTTGAAGTCTGACTGGCTTGGATACCCTTCAGGTAGGGGGTTGGGGGGAACAAGTGGGTCCTTTCTTCCCAGATTGCCCCTCTGGATGCTGGCTGGAGGGGCCGAGGTGATGGTCTGGGCAGCACTTCCATTCCCAAGGTTCTAGGGTTCAGAATCCCGAGTTTTGTCCATCAAGGTTAGGAGGGGAGGTGGTGGTAGTGGTGTGGCTCTGCATACTTCACGTGGGCCAAGTGACCTGAATTTATCACGGACAGCTAGATGTCCTCTTACTGTATGTCTCCTTACTTACCTTTGGTATCAACTCCCTGCCGGTCCTATTTGCTCCATCTGGTTCCCTATCGCCCCCAGCCTGCTGGATATAGACTAGACATCCCATCAGAACCTCAAACCCAACATGTCCAAAGAACTCATTTTATTTCTCTCTAAACTCGGCCCTCCTCAACACTTCCCTATGACTTTGAGGACACCAGCATCCCCACCCCCAGCCCCTCCAGTGAGCCAGCTTGGGAAACTTGAAGGCATATCTGATTCGTCTTTCCTTGCCTCTTCTTATCCATCTGCCGCCTTGACTCTATCTCCACGTCTCTTACATCTATCCCTTTCTCTCTACGCTGGGCCAAGCCGTCCTGTCCCCTCACCTGGACTGTTGCATAAGTCACCTAACTGCTGTTCCACTGTCCTCCCCGTCAACCTTCTCAATCCAACTGCCACCTAGTTGGTAAATATTCCTAAAACAAAGGACTCCCCACTTCCATGCTTAAGCATCTTCGCTGACTCTTTCCTGAATCTAGGCTCAAACGCAGAGTCTGGCCTGTAAAGCCTTCCAATCTGCCCCAACCTCCGCCTCCGCCCTTAACATTCCTCCTCCTTCATGCACTTTAACAGGCAGACAGAATGCCCTACTGCTTGTTCTGAGGCTTGATGCTGCACTGCTTACATCAGCTGCTGCACAGGCTGCCACCCCCTGTCTGGAATGCCTCTACTCTGAATATTAGCTTCCTTCAAGCTTCAGTTTAGGGGATTGTCTTCTGGGAAACCTTTCCCAACTCCCCTTCCCCCAAACTATCACATATGTACTTATCTGAATACATATCAATCCCTGTGGAAATATGTAAATATATAACATATGTGTGTGTGTGTGTGTGTGTGTGTGTGTGTGAATGTACGGGGGGGAGAGAGGGAGAGGGAGAGGGAGAGAGAGAGGGAAACTTTTCCCAAAACATTACGTAATATTCAGCAAAAATAAAATCCAGAAAAATACACGAAGAAAAAATTCACCACAGTAAACAAAAGCAAACATGACCTTTTTTTTTAATACTCTGGTTAAAGTTAATGTACATGTTTTTTATTGAGCAAAATGTAAATATCAGTTTAAGTTACATTTAAGCTACTTAAAATTTTTGTCTGGGCAAGTGAATTTTTGATTTAGTGATTTTTTTTTTTACTAAGTGTAGAATTTTTAAAAGGAAACTAACCACCTAAAGTTACATCAAGTAAATATTTTTAAAATCGTGTAATTCAGGCACTATTTGAGAAGAGAACAAGCATTTATTAAGCACCTACTGTGTGCTAGGCACTGTGCTAAGCACTCTACAAATATCATGTCATATGATCCTCACAACAAACGTGTGAGGTAGGTGCTATTATTATGCCCATCTTACAGATCAGGAGACTGAAATAGAGGTGAAATGACTTGCCCAGGGTCATACAACTAGAACGTGTCTGAGGCTGGATGTGAACTCTGACTTTGCTGACTTTAGGCTCAGTGGTTACCCACAGCTGCCTGAGATCAGGTATCAGCACTCTTAGTGCACTGTCTCATGCAATTCTACTGACATCTGTTGACATCTACTATGTATTGTAGGAAGGTTCAAAAAGCAAGATACAGCCTTTAATTTCTCAAAATACCAAACAATAAGGTAGCTGGTGACAACGTCCACCTTCCCAACTCCCTAGTATTTAAGAAAGGATAACCTAAAAAAAATTTCTTTAATGTCTTGTAAATTTTTTTTTTATTACCTCACTGTCCTTTTCTAATGGCTCTTCCCTCCCACAAAGGGCCTTCCATTGTAAAGTACATCTAAGCAAAACCAAACACCTAAATGGTCCGTGTTTCACAAGGTATGCCTGCCTCATTCAAAGTTACATCCCACCATCTCTTCACCAAGAAGAGGAGACGTGCTTCACAGTGAGTCTTCTGAAGTCGAGACTGGTGGCTACACTGATGACGCATTCTGACGGCTTTAAGACCGTGGTTAATGGTATATGCTTCTCCTGGTTCTGACATCCCCCTGCATCAGTGCAGACCTTTTCCCATACTTCTTTGCAGTATTCGTGTTTATCAATGCTTACGGAATTCCATTCCATTCTAATGTCACAATCTGTTCAGTCAGTGCTCCAAGTGATGGGCACCCACCTTTCTTCCCATTCTTTGTTATGACAAAAAGTGCTGATCTCAATATTTTTGTATGTGAGTTTTTGTTTTGTTTCTTCTCTCTTCGACTTTCTCAGAACATACATCCGGTACTGCTATCATTGTGTCCAATGGTAGGCACAGAATAGACTTTTCTAGTATAATTCCATTTTGTTCTCTAGAATAGAACGACCAATTCACAGCATGACCCAACCATGAAAGTGGCTCTCTGTATTCATATGTCTTTATTTCTGTAAAAAACATTTACAGCTGTATCTGTCTAAGACCTGAGTATGTCTCAGGGGGTTGTCTCCCAGAAATTTTTGACATTTTGTACTTATCCTTAATGGAGTTTCTTTTACTATCTCCTCCCGGGATTTGCTAAGAATATACCGAGTTTTTAAGGTTTATTTTAAATACTTCTAACTTAATGAAGTTATTGTTTCAATTCATCTTTCAGTGTGGATCTGGGATTGTCTTAGGAAAACCCTTACAACCTCCATGAATGGAGATCATTTTGCTCCCTCTGGCTGTGCTTATTCTGATGCCACATCCGGCACTTTGAGAATGTTGTAATAGTGGTGATGGTGAATGCCCTTGTCGTGCTCCTGATCTTACTGGAAAGGCTTCTATTATTTCTCCATTATAAATAAAGCTAGCTCTTGGTTTTAGACATGCTATTTATCACATTAAGTAAAGGTCTATTTATTCTGATGCTTTTTATTTTAGGTTTTTGTAATAGAAATGAGGGCTGGTTTCCTGTCAAAGGCTTTTTCTGTATCTATAGACCTTGTCATTTGATTTTTATTGTTTTTGGGATTAATGAAATATATTACAGTAGCCTCTTTGGTTATATTTTATTTAACATTTCTGTATCATTATTCATGAGTGAAACAAGTCACCTATAAAACTGATGAGGGTGGCAAACTGAACAAGAAAGGAAAATCCAAAAATTTGTTATTTACAAGAAACACCTAAAATATAAAGTTTCATATAGAGTTAAAATGATTGGGCATATACAATGTCTTGGCAGAATTAATAAAACAGAAGTACCAATCGTGATCAAAGATAAAAGCAACAATAAAAACAGATACAGTTAAGAGATAACTGGGGAAACATTATGCACAGCAGTACCGTGGATCATGATACCATGTCAATATTAACTATATATGTACTTAATAGCATAGCATTTAAAGTCTTAGAGGAAAAAGCTAGCTAAAATACAGAGACCTAGGCAGAAAAACAGTAATCGTTGAGGACTTAAAGACAGAGGGAAAGCTAAAAAACAAAGTTAAGGATCTGAAGAGAATATTAAAAAATTAGGCATGACAGACCATTGATGACTACTGAATGGGAATCAAAAAGAGTACACATTTTTTTTCAATCTTACAAAACTTCACCACACACAGTTGCATAAAGAACTCAAACAAAATTTAAAAGGTGGACTTAAAAAAAAATCTGTTTCAGACTACAATTCAATAAAATTGTAATTAATAAGGGAAATCTAAAGAAAGTATTCTGACTTCAATAACATAATACTAACGAATGAGTGGGTCAAAAACAAATGATATGAACAGTAACTATACCAAAGAAAATGATGAAAAAACACAATATACTAAACCTTATGGGATGAAGCCAAGGTGGTCCTTGGGGGGAACAGCTATAACTATATGTATAGATAAAGATATACCTACATCAGCAAGAAAGAAAGAAAATAAGATTAAATGAATCGAGCATGCAACTAAACTAGAAAAACATTTCATCAATCAATAGTCTTTAGAGATTGCCTACCAATTGCCAGGTACTACGCTAGCACTGAGGACACAAAGACAAGAATGAAACCATCCCTGTCCTCAAGGAGTTTACATTCTGTCGGGGAGATACCAATTATTTAAATAAGCGTATACAAAATAAATAGAGGACATGAGAGAGTGAGAGAGCCTCGGTGACTGAGAGGATCAGGAAAGGCTTCAAGTAGAGACATGTCTGGAGCAGTTTTGAAGGAAGTAAAGTCTCCTACAAGGCAGAGGCAAGGGCAAAGTAGGAGCACCTTCTGGGAAAGGGGGAAAGGCACAAAAAAGGGAGGAGAAGAGTGGTGAGCAGGGAACTAAGCTGGCCTGGCCAGCCCAGAAGGGGAGTGACAGAGAAGCTGGGAAGGCAGGCCAGAGGAGCTTAGATTTGATCCCAGAGGCAACAGAAAGCCCCTGGGGCTCATTGATGAAGACAGTGACTCAGACCTGTACTTTAGGAAAATTACAAAGTAAAAATCCTTCTATGAACACAAAAATAGAAATTCTGAAAACAGGAGAATAAACAAAACCGCAAACAAAAATAACTATTGAGATAATAAATAATACAGCAAATTTTAAAAAACATGAATAAAACAGAGAAACCATTAGCTAAACTGATAAGAAAAAGAGAAAAACTACATCATAAAATTTTTAAATGATCAGGGGGAATTCACAACAAATAAAATGCATTTTCAGAAACTATTATATCCATTTCCACAACAAAAACTTGAAAACTTATATGAAATGAATACTTACAAAAATATAAAACACCCAGATTAACAGAACAAGATGTTGACAGCCTAAAAAAAAAATTGATCTCAGAAGCAGAATTTGAATAAACTATAAACAAACTCCCAAGATGGGGGTGAGAAGGGACAGGAACAATGCCATATACACATAAAAGTGAATTCTATCAAATATTTAAAGAACAATTAGACTCCATGTTACAGAAATTATTTACAAAAATGAAAATAGAGGCATCTTACCAAATACCTGCTGAGATAAAAACGGTCCCGAGACTCAAATCACGAGAGAGAAAACAGAAAGCAACAGCTCTTTAAGAAGTAGAAGCCACATTATTACATCTCCATTGCTGCTTCACATTCTGGAGTCTCTGATGTTTGATGAGGGATAGAGTATCCTATAGTTTTCCCAAAGATCATTACATTCATAAAGCTGTTTATTCATATAAATTATTTGATGTTTCCTAAGGCTTCAAATGAGGCTTTCCTCCAATTCATTACTTGGATATTTTCTCCACGATGAATTCTCTGATGTTCATTAGTGTGTTCATACATATGAAAGCTTTTCTACATTCACTGCACTCAAAAGAGTTTCTCTCTGGTGTGAATTATCTGGTGTTGGTTACGGCTTCCCCTTTGGCTGAAAGCTTTCCCACATTCATTACATTCGAAGGGCTTTTCTCCAGTATGAATTCTCTGGTGCACATTAAGGTTTCCCCTGTGGTTGAAGGTTTTTCCACAGTCATTACACGCAAAGGGTTTCACTCCAGTATGAATTCTCTGATGTGCATTGAGGTCTCCTCTCTGGCTGAAAGCTTTCCCACATTCATTGCATTCAAAAGTTTTCTCTCCAGTATGAATGCTCTGATGTCTATTAAGGTTTCTCCTATGGTTGAAGGCTTTTCCACATTCATTGCAAGCAAAGGGTTTCTCTCCAGTATGACTTCTGTGATGCTGAGTAAGGCATAAGGCATTTCGGAAGGCTTTCCCACAAAGATTACATTCAAAGGGTTTCTCTCCCGTATGGATTCTCTTGTGTTCACTAAGGTTGCCCCTCTGTCTGAAAGCTTTCCCACATTCATTGCATTTAAATGGTTTCTCTCCAGTATGAATTCTCTTATGATAAATAAGATATCCCCTCTGTCTGAAGGCTTTCCCACATTCACTACATTCAAAGGGTTTCTCTCCTGTATGGATTCTCTGGTGCTGATTAAGGCTCCCCCGGAGGTTGAAGGCTTTCCCACATTCAGTGCATTCAAAGGGTTTCTCTCCAGTATGGATTCTTTGATGTGCATTCAGGTCTCTTCTCTGGGTGAAGGCTTTCCCACAGTCATTACATTCAAAGGGCTTCTCTCCAGTATGAATGCTCTGATGTCTATTAAGGTTTCCCTTGTGGTTGAAGGCTTTCCCACATTCATTGCATTTATAGGGTTTCTTTCCATTATGCTTTCTCTGATGTTGAGTAAGATGTGATCTCTGGGTGAAGGCTTTCCCACATTCATCACATTCATGTGGTTTCTCTCCAGTATGAATTCTCTGATGTGCATTCAGGTTTCTCCTCTGGCTAAAGGTATCTCCACATTCAATGCACTCAAAAGGTTTCTCTCCAGTATGAATTCTCTGATGTTTGTTAAGGTTTCCCCTGTGGCTGAAGGCTTTCCCACATTCTTTACACACATAGGGTTGGTCTCCAGGGTGTACTGCATAGAATTCAATAAGATCTGGATGGTAACTGAAGGGCTTCCTGCATTCATTGTGCTTAGAAAAGTTCTGCCCCAAGGATGTTACATTATGATTCCTCAGGTCTGAAAACTGTGTGAAGAGCTTACCTTGATTCATTTCTGTAGGAAGTGCTTCTTGTGGTACAAAGAATGAGCCCAGACTGAAACTTTCCCCAAATATTTTACATTCCTGGGCATTCACCTTAGAAGATTCTCTGTCAGAAGCTGCTACTTGTCTGTATTGTTTCTCCTCCAGGTCCTTCTGTTTCTCTAACCTGACATCAAATTCCCAAGCTTCTTCTATCTTGAAATCCCAAGGACCATCCTTTATGAATTTCTTCTTAGAGGACACCCCTGTACAATCACCCTGATTTGCTGCTGAGTCCTTGGTTTCACACCTAATCTCCAATCTAAGTGAATCTGAAAGAAACAAAAAAGTGTCAATATGCATGGTCCTCTGAACTGGGAAAAAGGACATTGCTTCAAAACAGATCTTAGATTTTTGTTTCCTCCATCAAGGATGATGATGATGAACCTAGAAAACTAGTTGGACAAGCTTATCTCATCTTACTTTAGGAAAAGGGAAGTCGACTAACATAAGGCAGAATAATTATTGGTGAAGCACTTGGGAAAAGACTGCTTTTTAAAATTCTAAAACATGATGTAAATGTTGTGTGTAAATCTGCATGACTATACCATTTGTAATGGGTTTTTTTTTTATCTTCTCAATGACTAGAGGTCAAAAGAAGGGAGGGAGAGTTCAGAACTGAAAATAAAATAAGTTTGATTTTTAAAAAAGATGAATACATTCAAGGAGAAGGAGATATGACATCTGTTCCCTGCATTCTGGTAAATTTCCTCTTATGTATGTTAGCTCTGCCTAAGTTGGGCCGCAGGCAGGAATCTTCTAATCAAACGCATTTGAACAAGACAAATGAAAGAAATACAGTTTAAAGTCTGAGCAATATGAGGCATGAAATTTCAGAACAGGGTTACAGTTTGAAAGGATCTTGGACATCATCTTCTTTCATTTTGTGGATGTAAAAGGTGACATAAGAGTACATAAGTGACTTGCTCAAGGTCACACAGTTGCTCAGGACAAGTGATACAATTTGGAAAAGCACTGAATCTCTCTATACTTATTTGTCTTCCTTTAATTCTATTTGTTGCATAGTGGGGCAGCTAGGTGGCGCAGTGGATAAAGCACTTGCCCTGTGGATAAAGCACTGACCCTGGAGCCAGGAGGACCTGAGTTCAAATTTGGCCTCATGACACTTGACACTTACTAGCTGTGTGATTCTGGGAAAGTCACTTAACCCCATTGCCTAGCACCCCCCCCCCCCAAAAAAAAACAGAAAAAAAATGTTGCATAGTTACACTTGTGTAAGTCTTTTTTTTTCTCTTGGTAAGTCTTAGAATGGAATTTCTCTAATGTCTTCCAACTGGTTTTCTTAAGTATTGTATAGAAATGCTGATGATTTCCCTGCACTTTTGTATCTCACTACTTCACTAAAGCTATTAATCACCCTAATCCATTTCTTCCCCGATTCCCTGGAATTTTCTAGGTATAGCATCATGTTGCCTACCAACAGGGAAACTTGTTCTTCTCCTTTGTCAATGAGTATGTCTTTAATTTTGCTTTCTCGTCTTAATGATACAGGTAACATTTGTAGAACCATATCAAATAACATGGGGGGAGGGGTGGAGGAAGAGAAAGAGAGAGAGAGGGAGAGAGAGGGAGGGAGGGAGAGAGAGGGAGGGAGAGAGAGAGGGAGGGAGGGAGAGAGGGGGAGAGAGAGAGACAGAGGGAAGGGGGAGAGAGGGGGAGGGAGACAGAGAGAGAGAGAAAGAGAGAGGGAAAGAGAGAGGGGGAGAGGGAGGGGGAGGGAAGGGGGAGAGAGAGAAGGAGGGAGGGGGAAGGAGGGGGAGAGAGAGAGAG